GAAGAACAGCACAGCTGAGCCGCCAGGAGTCTAAGAGTACATACGATACAAAACTATATCTGGGTTCAAATCTCTGGCTCAGCCACTTAATAACTAAACAGCAGAAATTGCCAAATTCTCTAAACTTCAATTTCCTTATCTGTGAAATGGGGATAATACAAAGGATTAAATAAGATGACTACAGAGGGCCTATGAGGAAACCTGCACAAAGAAAGAGTTCAATAAATCAAAATGATTATTACTTCACGAGTAATGCATGCTTCTGTAGAAAAAGTAGAGAATGAGTATCTAACAAAACTGGAATCATACTGTTCGTAATCCGCTTTCTTCCGTTTAGCAATTTATTGTGAACATCTCTCCCTGTCAGTTTATATATTTCTACACCATTATTTTTAGTGGCTGCAGAGCGGCCATAGAATATTTCATAATTTATGGTGACTAGTCTCCCATTATTGGACGCGATGTTGTTTCCAATTTCTGCCGTTATAAAAATACTTTAATGGACCCCCCTTTCTTTGTGCATGCCCTTAATTATTTCCTAGAATGAAACTATTCAGACAACCCTTCCTAATGGCAACTGAAATCCTGCCAGGCACAAGCTTTGGAGGAAGGCTCTCAAAGTGAAATCTGGAATTATTTCAGGTAAGACACTTCACCTCCCCCCAAGTCTGTTCCTCATCAGGAAAATGGGATTAAGAGTAGTCCCTACTTGGGGCCAGGTGGTAGCCAGTGGTAACACAACTGGACCCACTGGAAAAAGGTTCTTGGCTCGCATACTGGAGCTTCCCTAAGCATGCCAGGTGCATGCGCGCCCATGATCCAGGCTGGCTGAGACTGCGGATTGTGGCGTGGGGATCCTGTTGGGGTGCCTCTCTCTCTCTTTCTCTCTCTCTCTGGATGTATGTCTCTCTCATGGAAGAAAAAAAATTACTACCTAGTTCACAAGATATGGGATATAATCGTGAGGATTAAGGAAATAAGGAAAGGAGACCACCATAGTGTCTCAGGTCTGGCTCTCTAACCCATGGCTAGTGCAGCATCTGGCACAGAGCAGACACTTAGAAAGGGCCTTATTAATGGTTAAATACAAAAATTAAATTAAATTAAGAATTCTTTAAAAAAAAAAGGGGGGGCGGGGGACCAGCAGTGGCATGGTGGCTAAAGCACTGGACACTCCCACATGGCCGACCACGGTTCAAGTCCCAGACATGGTGGCTTGCTTTCTCACGTTCGCTTTCTCTCTCTCTCTCTCTCTCTCTCTCTCTCTCTCTCTCTGTGTGTGTGTGTGTGTGTGTGTGTGTGTGTGTGTGTGTGTCTGGTCAAATTAAAATAAATACATAAATTAAATTAAATAAAGAATTATTAAAAAAAAAAAAAAAGAAAAGAAAAGAAAGTGTCTTAATGGGTGAGGAAGCAGGGACCTGACTCAAAATAAATAAACAAGACTCCCCTGCTTAAAAGGCAAAAACAAAGGCCATTAGGGTCTCATGGACAAGAAGAGGGTCATGTCCCAATGACTTTTTTTTTTTAAGAGGTTTTTGCTTTAGGGTGTGTGTGCTCTCCAGAGAGAGACAGAGACTGTGCAAGGGAAAGTGAGAAACCACCCTCCCAGGGGGATCCCACACCACATTCCCTTCTCCTCCCTTCTCCTTCCGGGATCTTGGACATGCACGTGCTTCGGGCGTGATTTTCAGGCCACCAGGTCTGGGACTCAAACTGTGGCCAGCCATGTGAGAGTCCAGCAGCGTAACCACTACACCATCTGCTGGCCCCGCATATGACTCTTCACTTGCATCTGGCATGACAGCTCTTGAGGATCTCCTCATTCTCCACCCTCAAAAGCACACCTATAAGGCCCGGGGTCTGAAAGACCCCAGATCTGCAGCCGTGTTCCAGCTAAATGACGTGTCAGCATCAACAGCTTGCCTCTCTGTCAACTCACAGCGGTGCTGGGCTCTGTGGCTTTGATTTTCAAATGTGGGGTAAAAGCAATTCCAGAAACCAAATATAACTGTCCTATACACTTCTCCACCGTTGAACAGTAATTGCAAAATAGATACCACCTCTGAGGTCCCCAAGGACTGCTACCTGGCTGTTCTAGGCTGATGTCACATCAGCTGGGGGGAGGGCTCTGCTGACAATAAACAGATTCAGGCAATCACAATGCCGCAGCCGCTACTGCTGCTACTGCTGCTGCTGCTGCTGCTGCTGCTGCGGCGGTTTTTTTTTTTTTTTTTTTCGGCTGTTGCTTCTTGTGGTTTTTTTTTTTTTTTTTTTGGAGAGACAGCTTTTGCTATAGAGTGCATGCACTCATGGAAAGATGGCCACATCACAATCCCCTCTCCTCTATTCTGTTTCGGGGATTTGCGGCCTGCACACACACACACTCGGTGTGAGTTTCAAGCCACTGGGTTCAGGACTCAAACCACGGTCGACTTCATGGGAGTCCAGTGACATAACCATTACTCCATCTGCTGGTTCCCTTTCTGAGGGGGTCTACAACCTCCAGCTCAGCTCTGGGGCATGCTCTGTAAGAGGGAAGATAAACTAAAGCCAATTCAGAGGGACAATCAGGAGGAAAAATGACCAAAGGCCCTGAAAGGTGCTACCCTTGGAGAAGTGAGATCTGCAGAAGGCACCACGCGGTCCTCCCGAAGAGAGGAAGAGAGATTACTTGCTCTGTGTTGAACCCACCACAACATCCTAGCCCTGCAGTTACCACTTCATTTTGAAACCACCTGCTTATAAACCCTCGCCCTCTGCCCCCAACCACAGGCCCGAGAAGGGTGCCCGTGCATGAGTCCCTTATGAGGCCAGGACACAGCAAACGCTGAACCGAGAGCGGAAATGACAGGGAGGCCTCTGTGGCTCAAGAAAGGGAAGTGCTTTCTAACAATCCCAGCTGCTCCAACAGGTCAGGAGGTTTGAGAGGGAAGGGTCTGCTAGCCATGAATGCCCGCATGCTAGAGGATGCAGGGCCAAATGCCCCTGAGATAGCACCCAATTCTAAGAGCCAGCCCCTGGGGGGGGGGGCAGGGAGGAAAGGTGCTGATGGAGCACACGCATCCAGCTAGCCCTCATGATCCTATGAGGTAGGCATGATGACTGTTCTCATTTACAGTGGAGAATCTGAGGCTCGGGGAGGTTCAATAACTTGCCAAAGTCATAGAGCTTATAAGAGATAGAGCAAAGGGGCCAGCAGGTGGCACGATGCTTAAGGTGCTCAATTCCCACGTGGCTGACAACGGTTCGAGTCCCAGATCAGGGCAGGTGTACATGTGTGCCCAATATCTCAAGAGGAGAATGGAGGAGAAGAGACTGTGGTGTGGCTATACCCCCTGAGGGGTAATTTCTCACTTTCCCTTCCTCACTTTCTCTCCAGTGGAGCACACATGCCCTACAGCAAAACCTAAACGAAAAATAAATAAATAAATAAGGTAGAGCAAAAATGTGAACTCAAGACTACCAACTTGCCCACCTAGGCTGAGGGAGAAGTTCTGCCCCCCACTCCCACCCCCAGCCAGCCATGAAGGCAGCTCCAGCCCTTTGCAGCTGAAGGCTCTCCTACTGGTGCCAAAACTTTTCGAAAGTATCTTTACATCTATAAACTCAAGAGCCCTAAACCAACTGATCCAGTTCAAGGGAAAATCCGCTGGTCTGAAGCCATCTGTTCTTTGGGAGCCTGGGGCTGCTTCTCCTCCTAAACTCCAACCAGGGAACCCAAGACACTACAGAAGGGTCAGGGAAGGGTCTCCTGAAGAAGGCACCACTAAGCTAAGCCTTTACTGAGGAGTTGGACACCTGACGGGGCAGTATGGGACAGCAGAGGGGCTAGGGCATTCCAGACAGAGGAAAAGCAGGAGCAAAGACAGAGAAGTAAGAAATGTGTGGACAATCACAAGCCCTTTGGGGTTGCCAGAGTGTAAAATTCAAATTGAACAGAAGGACACAGTGATCGAAGAGATAAGCGGGGCTGATAAATTATGAAGGGCCCTGAATATATGCTACGAAATCTGGATTTGATTTATCCTGAGGGCAATAAGGAGCCACTGAAGGGCTTTATGCAGAGCAGTGATAAGATCAAATCTCTGCATTAAGAAGATTACTGTGGTAGTAATATGAGGCTAAGCTGCTACCAATGACGTGGGGGCCTGAGGGCACTTCTGGGGTAATGCGGGCAAGAGACCCACTGGGCATTAGCTGACCTGTTTGTCCAGGCTCCTCCATAATTCCGAATGGGCCCAAACTTTCATTTTCTGGGCTCCCAGACCTACTCACACTGCCATGGAAGCAGGGTTTTGAAGGCTCCTAATTTTGTGAAGCCTCCCACACATCTTTCTTTAATGATATGACTGTAGGGAGAAAACGACACTAACCCTAAATGCCAATTACTAAACTTAATTCATGAGAGGCCCTCTGCCAGGCCCTTTATGCACAGAATCTGTTACGCACTCAACAACCTATGAGGGAAGTTACTGTCATTACCACTGTTTTGCAGAGGAAACTCAAGTTCGGGGCAGGAGCTTACCAAAGGTCACCCAGCTACTAAAGGGAGGAGTCAGGATTTCAACCGAGTTCTACCAGGCGGCAGAGACGGCTCTGTTCACTACTGCCAAGACGGACGGAGAGGGTCGGCTAAGAGTTCTGCGCCCTGGCCCCTTCGGGAAAATCCTGGGTGGTTTCCTAGCCCCGGGGGAAAAACCTGGGGGGTTATCTTGGCCACACCGCCGCAGAGGCAAGAAGTGAGAAACCCGATCCCAAACGCAGGAATCAGGAGGGATCCCGCCCCCGTCAGCCTCCAGCTACAAGGAACCAAACAAGGTGTCGGACCTGAGACCCCGGGACTGTAAAGACACTAAAAAGGGGCCCAACCCAGCGGCTGACGCAGGGGGAGGCGGGGCTCGCAAAGGGGGCGCATCCTGGGGCGGGGCGGGGCGCTCCGAGCGCCGCAAAGTCTAGGACCTGCGGGACCCGGTGGAGGGGCGGGCCGCGCGAGAGGCTCCAGCAGGGCTGATCCGGGATCTCGATGGTGTAGTCCAACTCCGCTGAGGCCATGGTGAAGGCTCCGGCCCTCAGCACGGGCACGCCGCCGGAACTCCCGCTTGCGCACCCGCGCCTCACCGGGGCGCCTCTTGGGCGCCGCCCAATCGCCACCCACCTCCCTCGACACTGGCCAATCCCGGGGCCGCGCTCTGTGACCTCCCACCCTAGCAACCACCGAGTCTCTCTCCCCGCCTCTCGCCACCCCCCACTAGCTCGCCCCTGGCAACCATGTCCCGCCTCCCTCTAGGCCTGGCTCGCAGCCATTGGCTGACTCGCTTGATCTCGGTCGTTTATTGGTCATCCGGGAAGCCGGTCAGGAAGAGTCCCCACCCTCCTGTGTAGGTAAGAGTTGGCAAGAGAGTTGTAGCGTGGGTTGGTGGAGGGTCTCTGGTGCGAATCGCGTCTTATCCTACCCGGCAGAAGACAGCACTTTTGACTTACATCGTCTAGCTACCTCTACTGTCCTTCACCAGCCGCAGCTCGAGGGCTGGAGGTAGAAAACCATATAAAACGGCCTAGGGATCGCGTGCGGATCAGCCTTCCACCCTGTGGGGGGTAGAGGCATATTCTGGCTGGGTGGGTGGAAAGCAGTCTTCGGTTGATGACTTTAGTGAATACCTTGTTCTTGGAAGACACTAGAGGCTAGAGTACAGCTTTCTTGCATTTAACCACGCATTTAACAAATAGCAGGTATTCGTGGAGCGACTATTATGTGTCAAGAAACGGGCTAAGTAAGTAAGGCTCTTCGGCGTTAGAGAGGATCAAGATTTTTGCCCGAACTTCTGTAAGTCTTAGCGGGAGAGAGAAAACCATGCATGAACCAACTCTAATTCTTTTCAGAGAATAAACGCTTCAGAAGTGTAAGCACTGTAGGGGCTGAGAAAGACCGTTTGTGGCAGTGGGGATGGCTTTTGACCTGGCCCTGTGGAGACAGGGAGGGAAGGATTCCTTGCAGGAGCTCGAAGAGGGGAGTGAATGGAGAGAAATTACATGAGGCATCTTCTGGTTAAAGAAGAGTCTAATGTGAGAGAACTCTTGGAAGAACAGTTAGGCCCAAACCCTGGAGAGTCTTTGATGCCAAGTTCAGCTTTGAGTAGATCTTGCTGGTGGTAAAAAAATAATAATAACAAAAAAAATTTCCAGTGCATTTTATACCCATGAGCACAAGGGCTTAGACTTTATCCTGAAGACAGTGGGACATCATTGCAGGGCTTTAAGCAGATTTGTGTCTTAGAAGGCAGAGAATGCCTTGAGAATTGGGAGAAGGAGGAAGACCAGTTAGAAGTTGTTCCAATGGTGCAGAAGGATTATGGACATAAAGTGGAGTGGCAGCCGACATGGTGGTGGGGGAGAGGGGTACCTTAGACTAGAAAGAACTGGATTTGGAGACTGGTTGGGTGCAGGGAAGTAGAAGTAATGAAGGTTGAGCTCTAAATTCCTCTTTGGGGCAAACAAGGAGGAAAGGAAGTAGGGCTTTTAAAGGGTATCAGTTTGAGTATGGTGAGTGTGAAGGGCCAGTGGAGCATCCAAGGGGAAGTGTCCAGGAGGCAGTAGAATGTGCCCCAGTGGAGTTCACGAGTTAAGTCTTACCTAGAGGTGGGGATCTGCAGGACCTCTTAGATAGCAGACACACCAGGAGGTTTGTCAAGCTTGCCCAGGGGATATATGTAGAGTAAGAAGAGAAAAGAGCTTAGGACAGAGCCCTGAGAAGCACCCAAGTGTGGAGGTCTGGCAAAGGAAGATGAACCTGCAAAGGTAATCAAGATGAAGTGTCCAAAATGGTAAGAGTATAATCAACAGTAGAATGTGACATTTCAGAAGCCAAGGGAGGAACCTGTTGAAAGCTGATGATTAATCAAGTAAAACAAGGTCTGAAAGAATCCACTGGATTTAGAAACAAGGAAGTTGTTGGTGACCTTTGCAAGTACAATGTCAGTAGAGCAATGGAAGCAGAGATCAAATGGCTTCATGGGACCAGCAGTTAGTGTAATGGCTATGTCACTGGACTCCCATGTAGTCAACCGTGGTTTGCGTCCCGGACCCGGTGGCTTAAAACTCAGGCCGGGCACGTGTGCATGCATGCCCAAGATCCCGAGAGGAGAATGGAGGAGAAAGGATTGCAGTGTGGCCATCCCCCCTGGGGGGTGATTTCTCGCTTTCTGTCTCTATGTCTCTGTCTGTCTGGTGAGCACACACGCCCTATAGCAAAAACCTCTCCAAAAAAAAAAATGGCTTCAGTGGCTTGACAAGTGGATAGGAAGATAAGGAAGTGAACATTGCATGTCCAATACACTTTCTTTTTTAAAAAATTATTTATTTAATTTTGTTTGTTATTATTATTTTTTTAAATTTGACTAGAGAGAGACAGAGAGAGAGAAAAAGGGAAAGTGATAAAGCAAGCCACCAGGTCTGAGACTCGAACCACAGTCATCCATGTGGGAGTCCAGCACCTCAACCATCATACCATTTGCCAGCAAGAAGTGTGACTTTAACAAAAGGAATAGAGAAGGCAGTAACTGGAAGGAAACACAGGACTTCTTTCCCAGATGGCAGAAATGCTGTTGACATTGACTCAGCAAAGAAGATTAAATTTTAGGGAAAGGGGCAGCAGGTGGTGTGGTGGTTGAGGACACTGGACTCCCACAGGGCCAGCCGTGCTTCGAGTCACAGATCGGGCAGCTTGCTTTCTCACTTTGCCTCTCTCTGCCTCTTGCTCTGTCCCTCTCTGGTCAAATTTAAATAAATAAATAAATTTAAATTAAATCATTCTTTTTAAAAAATTATAAGGGAAAGAAGAAAGCTAAGAGTAGTGTTCCTCCAGAACCAAAAGGTAGTGGACCCAAAGCACTAATGGAAAAATTCACTTACAAAGGTAGAGGAATATTTGGGACCAGCGGATGGCGTAATGACTACGTCGCTGGCCTCCCATGTAGTCCAGCGCGGTTTGAGTCCTGGACCCGATGGCTTAAACTCACGTCGGGCGCATGTGTGTGCATACCCAAGATCCCAAGAGGAGAATGGAGGAGAAAGCGGCGTGGCCATCCCCCAGAGGGTGATTTCTCACTTTCTGTCTCTCTGTCTCTCTCTGTCTTTCTGGCGAGTGCACACACCCTATAGTAAAAATCCCGCCCCCCAAAAATAATAATAATAAATAGAAGGGTAGAGGAACATTTACGTTGTGGCAGAAAGGAAGTCATGTGTATTGAAATTAGTACATTGGTAGATTTTGTGACAGGAAGTTGAGAGAATTCTTGTTCTGTGGTTTCTATTTTCTCTGTGAAATAGGAACATGACAGAGAGAGTGGTGTTAGAGATGGTGTATGAAATTGAAAAAAGCAGAGAAAGATTGAAATAGCAGCAGTGAGGGGCCAGCAGGTGGCATAGTGGTTAAGGTCGCTGGACTCCCACATGGCTGACTTCAGTTCAAGTCCCAGACATGGCGGCTAGCTTTCTCGCTCTCTCTCTCTCTCTCTCTCGCTCTGTCCCTCTGGTTAAATTAAAATAAGTAAACAAAGTTAAATAAACAAATAAAGTTAAATAAACTAATTCTTAAAAAATAAAAAAGAAATAGCAGCAGTGGAAAATGGGAACGAGATTCTTCAGGGAGCATCCACATTTCTGGGCAGTTAGGATGGTCCTGTTGAGGTTGGTGACCATTAATTTGTACTAGCAGCAGTCCACATGATTGTATATGTGTTGCTGTGCCCCCTACACACACAAAACATCAGCCACCTGCTGGTGGGTGCAGGGATTAACTGAATTAATCCAGGTTTGGGTAATACCATGTGATGCAATGGGAGGGCAAAGGACAAGGAAGTTGAGGATCCTGGCCAGAATGGTTAAAATGATGGGCCTTAGAACCTGAACTGAAAAGGAGTGAAAAAGTATTAGGACCGGAGATCCCAATGAAGTCAGAGAACCCACTCCTTGAAAACAGTTGAGAGTTGAGATCCGAAAGTGGAGTAATGAGGGACCAGCAGATGACAAAGTGGTAACATTGCTGGACTCCCATGTAGCTGACTACTGTTTGAATCCAGACCTAGTGGCTTAAAACTTCCACCAGTCATGTGTGCGTGCGTGTCCAAGATCAGACCTAGTGGCTTAAAACTTACACCAGTCATGTGTGCGTCCGTGTCCAAGATCCAGAGAGAAGAATGGAGGAGAAGGGATTGCGACATGGCCATCACCCCTCAGGGGTAATTTCTCACTTTCTGTCTCTCTGTTTCTCTGGTGAGCACATGCACCCTATTCCAAAAATCTTTCTTAAAAAAAAGAAAGAAAGAAAGAAGGAAGGAAGGAAAGAAAGAAAGAAAGAAAGAAAGAAAGAAAGAAAGAAAGAAAGAAAGAAAGAGGAGTAATGAAGCTTGAATATTTTCATGATGACAGGTCCAAAAAGTAAATGGCCAAAGTGACGTGCAGGGGACAGTCAGGATGCTGACATGGCCATTGAAATCCCCCTGATGAGGGGAGGAGAAGAAAGAAGATGCTGTGAGCTGGATACTAAGTTTTTGATGAATAAAGCAGGTCATTCTGGAGTCTTTAGGTGACAGCATCAGAAGAGGCAAAGGTGCACAGCTGAACAGCATGACCCTGCAAGTGGCAAGAGTCTCTACAAGAAGGAGGTGGGATGAGGAGTTGGGTTGGGCTTTGGTGAGGAGACACTGACCCACCTCCCCACCCTAAGAGCCTTGGAGTGTGAGAGTATAAGCAGCTTCTATTTGGGGGAGCTATGCAGAAGTGAAGGCCGAGGGTAGAGCCAGCTTTGGGTGCAGGCTGGAGGCAGGCAGAGTGACCATGGAGAAGCTAAGAGTGAGGAAACCGGCTGCTCAGGAGCAAGGGTTCTCAGGGCAGACTAAGAAGGTCGGGAAAGGAAGGAAAGACAGAAAACAAGGAAGATGAAGCAGAGAGCAATGAAATGGTGAGGACAGTGTGGGTAGAGGATATGGTTACATTTTATGGACAGGACATGAGGGCACATTGCTGGAACGGAATGGGAGCATAGGTCCCAGGAGAAGAAAAGTGGGATCTATGGCCAGAGGATAAAGGTAAATTGGGAAAGGATGAAGACAAAGAGTATTTTTTAAGAGTTATGTACTTTTATTTATTGTTGTTATTATTTTTTAATATGAGGCAGGCACTCACTGGAGAGAGGGGGAAAATGAGAAATCAAGCTGCCTGGTCTGGGACTCAAACCATCATTGGCCATATGGGAGTCCAGTTCCTTAACCACTGCACCACCTTCAGGCTCCCAACAGAGAGTTTTTTGTTTGGTTGGTTGTTGTATTATTATTTTTATTATTTTAAATTTGCTATAGGGCACATGCACTCACCAGAGAGAGAGAGGGAAAGTGAGAAAGCAAGCCACCAGGTCCAGGACTCAAACCACAGTCAGCCATGTGAGAGTCCAACGCCTTAACCTTATGCCACCTGCATAAGGGGAGCTCCTAGATGGGGAGGGCATGGGGGAAAGGATGTCTATGAGGAGAGAATGGAGGGAAAGGACCAGTGTAGGGGAAAGTTGAGGGCAGATGGAATCCAAAGGAAAGAGATGGTGGCAGAAGGGGGCCTGTGAAGAGAGTATGACTGGGGAGCAAAGCAGGGTCTATAAGAAGGAAGTGACAAGTTGGAGTGCTTATTCCCCGAAGCAGAAGTAAGAGGAAGTCCAGTCTTTGTCTAGACTGGAAGTTTGCGGGTAGAGGGAGAATGATCCTTCCTTCCTTCCTATCTGTCTCTGAATGGAGAACTAAGAGTGAGGGGTCAGGCTGGGAGCCCGAGGAGGCCTCTGTTCGTGAAACCTGTAGTTACAGGAGACTGGGACCGCCTTGTCTCCAAGGCCATCTGGGGACACTGAACCAGACTTGGTGACCCATGCCTTGGAGGCGTCTTGCCTTTAGAAAGGTGTCATCTGATTTAGAAATTAAAAATCCCTCTGGGACATTTTATTTAGAAACAAAACCTATTGACCTCTCGAGTTTTAATCTCTCTCTATGCTTGTTAAGGCCCATTTGCTTAGCACAGGAGCTGGAATTTTTTGAGATTTTGTGATTTTTTAGTTTCCCCGCATGAAGAACCACCATTTGGCTGCTATAGAAATGATTTATGGATGAGTCCAGATTTATTAATCACTTCCGAAGATGGAGAGGAAATTAAAAACAAAGAGTCCACTCTGGGCTGAAGACAAAGTAGGTTTGTCGTCCTTTCAGAAGACCTTGCCAAGGTGAGAAGGCCACGAACAAACTAATTTGGACCACAGTTCCTAATCTGGATTTTAATTTCATGTGCTTTGGTTTTTCACACCATTTTCTCTCCAAGGTAAAATAATGACTATCTTAATTGGCTGCCACTTACAGAGAGATTCCAATAAGCATGATGGCATACATATATTTTTCCCTGGCATTCCATGTGTGCGCCAGTTCTCCTGCTCAAGCTGGTAAAGCTGAGTTACACTGCATGCTGCATGCCATGATCAGTTGACTATAAATTAAATCCTCTTTTCCAAAAGCCATTTTCCATTAGTGCTAATTTGTTTGCTTCTCATTTCCACTGATCATTAGAGTCTCTGGTTGTGAGCACCAAATTGGAAATAATTTCTCTGACATTTCAAAAAAAATTCTCCCCTTCTTGAATGCCATTTGGCTGCAGCTAAAGAACATTATGGTTTGCAGAAGAACAGTTCACTCCAATTACAATTTAACTGACCGTTCATGGCACCGAATCCCTGTCCTTAGTGTCCAAAGATGACACCACTGCTGACATTGCTATTTCCTGTCATAGCTGTAAAATGCCTCATAGACTTTGCACTGGCCTTCTTGGATGGAGATTCTGCCACTCTGCCACGTGGCAGCTTTGGGAAGCTGGTCATTTTATAGACCTACATATCATGGACATTCGGATATAACCATCTAAACAGAAGCTGGCTGATTTCTTCATTCATTCACCCAGTGGAGATTTTATTGAACCTCTATTTTGTGCCAGGTGTTATGCCAGGCACTGGGGCCACAGAGAGAAGGAAGACCAACCCCTGCCCTTGAGGAACTCACAATCTAATGGGAGGGATGCTTCCATTTTACAGCATAGTAGAGGAAGAGGTGACACAGATGGAACCACAGAACCCAGAGCCCCTCATTGTCACAAGGCGGTATGTCAAAGAGCAAAAGGGAGGCTGGCCATTCCCGACAGCAGAGCAGCTCTGAGATGCAGAAGGCCTTGGAAGGGTCTCAGGAGTTGAGGGGTTGAGGTCTGTTGTAAGGTGGAAGTGAGTGGAGATGATGGCTGAGGTACAGTCCAAGTTCTGCCAGATTGAGTTTAGACTATTCTGCAGACCACAGGGAGCTAATGGAGAATGTAGGGGTGAAGAAGGGAGGCAGTGTAACCTTAAGGGGAAAATAGTCAAGGAAAGGCTTTGTTTATGTATCTGTTTGAGTTGATCGGGATTGAGCCAAAGTAAGAGGAGTTAGAGGAGATGGAAAAATTGAAGATAGTAAAATCTAGCACGTATAGAAAGGCTGGGTGCTGATATGGTGATGTTAAGAATGGAAGGAAAGGGGGGCCAGCAGGTGGCATGGTGTTTGAGGGGCTGGACTCTCACATGACTGACCATGGTTCAAATCCTGAACCTGATGACTTGCTTTCTCCCTCTCCCTTTCTCTCTGTCTGCCTCTCTCTAGTCAAAATTGAAGAAGAAGAATAATAAATTAAAAGTTAAAAATAGGGGCTGGCAGGTGGCATGGTGATAATGGTGCTGGACTCCCACATGGCTGGCTGACCGCAGTTCAAGTCCTGGACCTGGTGGCTTCCTTTCTCACTTCCCCTCTCTCTCTTTCTCTGTCTCTCTCTGATCAAACTGGAAAATAATAATAATAAATAAAGTTAAATAAAATTTTTTAAAAGTCAAAAATAAATAAATCTTTATTTAAAAAAAAAAAGAATGGAAAGGAAGAGGTGGCAGGTGGCATGGTGGTTAAGGGTTCTGGACTTTTACATGTTCGACCAGTCAAAGATATTACCAAACATATACATATCAACAGATCATTTCCTGTTTAGTGTTTCTTAAATGTATTGCTTCTTTTTCCCCTTGATTCCCTCCCTCTCCCCTCTGCCATTTTCCACCCTCCTCCCACACTCTCTGGTATCCACAGTTACTCTCCATACCTTTATACTGTCCAATATTTCAGTTCTGCCATAGAGGGCAGACACTCAATATATATTGAGTGGGGACATACAATGTCTCTCTTTCATATTCTGGCTTGTCTGGCTTAACAGTAAATATTCCATATTTATCCACTTTCTATAAAATGCTAGGGTCTCATTTTTTTATGGCTGAGTAGTGTTCTGTAGTGTATATGCACTACATTTTTCAATTCATCTGTCTTTTCACAGACATCTGGGTGGGTTCCATGTCATAGCAGTTATGAATAATGCCGCAATAAACATGGATGTGCACGTGTTTTCCGGCTGAGTGCATTCCTATTCTTTGGGTAGATACCCAGGAGTGGAATTGCTGGATCATATGGTAGTTCTATTTGTAGATCTTTGAGGAATTGCCATATTGTTCTCCACATTGGCTGTACTAATTCCCGCCAACAGTGTAGGAGAGTTCCTTTTCTCCTCAGCCTCTCCAACACTTACCATTCTTTATTTTTTTAATCTTAGCTATTATGACAGGGGTTAGGTGGTATCTGTGGTTTTGATTTGCATCTTCCTTATGATAAAGGATTGTTTGTTCGTTTGTTTGCTAAAAGGTTCTTGTGCTGGCCAGAAAGACAGAGACCATCCCCCCTGGGGGTTGATTTCTCGCTTTCTGTCTCTCTGTCTCTCTCTGTCTGTCTGGCGAGCACACGCGCCCTATAGCGAAAACCTCTCCAAAAAAAAAAAAGAGTTCTTGACTTGGTCAATAATATAAACACTATTGATTTAACTATATTATGGAACTATACTGTAAGATTGGGGCAGAAAAAATAGGGGTTAAAGTGGTACAAAAGAATTAATTTTTCACCTGCCAGAATAATAAATAAATAAAAATAAGCAACAATTGATAAGTAATAGTAGTGTATTCATCTGCTAGAGCTACCATGACAGCACCATGGATGGTGATATGAACAACTTAAATGTATTATCTCATAGTTCTGGAGGCTGGAAGGCTGAGTTCAAGATGTTGCAGGGATGGTTTCTTCTTTTTTTAATTAATTTTAAGTATTTTATTAGAGAATTATTTTATTTCATTTTATCATTATTATTTATTTTATTTGACCAGAGAAAGAGAGAGAGAGAGAGGGAAAGTGAGAATGCAAGCCATCAAATCCAGGATTCAAACTGCAGTTGGCCACATGCGAGTCCAGCACTCTCACCACCACACCACCCACTGGCCCCTATCTATTTAATTTTAAATTTTGATATGGGGAGACCAGGAGATGATGTAATGATTATGTCGCTGGACTCCCACATAGTTGACCACATTTCAAGTCCTGGACCTGCAACTTAAAACTCACTCTGGGCACGTGTGTGTGTGCACAAAATCCCAAGAAGAGAATGGAAGAGAAGGGACTGTAGTGTGGCTATCCCCCCTAGGGGTGATTTCTCGCTTTCCACCTCTCTGTCTCTCCAGCAAACACATATATCCTATAGCAAAAATCTTTCTAAAAAAATAAAAAATAAAAAAAGGTTTGATATAGGGCATGTGCACTTACCACAGAGAGACAGAAAGAGCAAGAGAGAGAGAGAGGAAAGTGAGAAAGCAAGCTGCCAGATATGAGACTCAAACCATGGTTGACCATGTGGTAGTCCAGTGCCTTAACCACTCCATCACCTGGCTGGTTTCTACTGAGGCCTCTTTCCTTGGCTTGTAGATAGCCATCTTTTCCCTGTGTCTTTACCTGGTCTTCCCTCTGCATGTCCTAACCTCCCTCTTACAAGAACACAAGCCAGGGGACCAGCAGGTAGTATGATGGTTAAGGAGCTGGACACTTCCACATAACCAACCACAGTTCGAGTCCTGGACCTGATGCCTTTCTTTTGCACTTTCCCTCTCTCTCTTTCTCCCCCCTATGTCTCACTCTGCTCAAATTTAAAAGGTGATAATAAATGAATAGATAAAATTAAATAAATAGTTCTTTCAAAAAAAAAGAAAAAAGAACACAAGCCATATTGGACTGCGCCCACCCTAGTGGCCTCATTTTACCTTAACTACCTCTTAAAAGACCCTCTCTAAATACAGTCACATTCCGAGTTACTGAGGCCTTAGAACTTCAACATATGAATTTAGAGGCCACTGTCCAGCTCATGCAAAGTGGTACAAGTTCATTGTCTAGAAATATTGCAGTGAACACCAGGAGAAATTGCCAGAAGAGTTGAAAGTGCCTGCCCCTGTGGAGTGAGACTGGAGGGTAGCCAGAGAGAAGGCAAGTACTGTCACTATACGTTTCACTAACTAGCAAATGACAGCGCTGAGCCTTGAACCCAGTTTTCCTGCAGAGCTCATGCTCTTCCACTCTACCACAAGATTGAGAACTCCTCAAGGGCCCTGACAGTACTGTCTTCATCTCTGATCCCCTCAGCACCTTGTACAGAGCCCCAGAATGGTCCTAACCACGTGTTTAAGATTTAGAGCTGCATCACTCTGACCTTGAAAGCTGCCATTTGCTGATTTTTTTCTTCTTCTGTTTCCAAAAAAGATGATAGAGGAAAACCAAGATCCCAGGAAACCTTGAGGGTCCATAATGTGGCATGTCCTGGTTAGTTTCCTATGCTGGGCACATCTCTGATAGTACTTTGAGTTCATCATGGGCAGCCATGGTGGCATAGCCGTAACACCACACTCCATGATGCTGGAGCACATGGGCTGGGAAGGTGCCGGCTTTGTGTCCCAGGGTCTCCCTGCACACACTAGATGCATGCATGTACCCATGATGCTAGCTGAGGCTAGGGCGAGACCCTGTGAAGGGTACTTGTCAGTCTGCCCATCTCTCTCAAAAAATAAATAAATAAGGGCCAGCAAGTAGCATGGTGGTTAAGGCTCTGGACTTCTGCATGACCGACTGTAGTTCAAGTCCCAGACCCGGCAGCTTGAAAATCATTCCAGATGCATGTACATGTGTGCCCAAAATCCCAAGAGGAGAATGGAGAAGGGATCGCGGTGTGGCCATCCCCCGAGGGATGATTTCTCACTTTCCCTCTCATTTTGTCTCTTTGGCGAGCACATGCACCCTATGACAAAACCTAATAAATAAATAATACTTTTCAAAATAAATAAATAAATAAAGGGGCTAGCAGGTGGTATGGTAGTTAAGGCACTGGATTCCCACATGGTCGACTGTGGTTCCAGTCCTGGACCTGGCAGCTTGCTTTCTCTCTCTTTCTCTCTCTGATGGGCGTGTGTGCCTATGGCAAATTAAAAATAATAATAATTAACAAAATTAAATAAGGGAGACCAGCAGATGGTGTCATGGCTACATCGTTGGAATCCCTTGTAGTCAACCACAGTTTGAGTCCCAGACTGGGTGACTTAAACTCACACTGGGCATGTGTGCGTGCGTGCCCAAGATCCCAAGGGGAGAATGGAGGAGAAGGGATTGCGGTGTGACCATCCCCCCTGGGAGGTGATTTCTCACTTTCTGTCTCTCTGTCTCTCTCTGTCTTTCTAGCGAGCGCACGTGCCCTATAGCAAAAACCTCTCCAAGAAAATAATAAAATAAAAATAACAATAATTAATTAAGAAGATAAAAGAAGGGTGTTTCAAGACAGGAAAGGGGCACAGTATTCTTTCCTGCCCGGTAAAGCTAGTGGTGGTGTCTCAACACCTGCTTGGGCTCTAGAACTGCCACTCCGCCCCATTTTCTTGAGGGCAATTTGGCTGTTGAAGGTGGCCACGGCCTCTGAAATTTATTCTCAGACTTGAGCTGTCATGGCATTCATAGTGATTGATGCATGACCCCATGAAGGGTTTTGGTCATCTTTGTGTGTAGGCTGATCCACAGTCATTCAGCTGGTTCTTAAGGCTGGTCAGATTGCATGGTCGCCTCCGTCCCTGAGTTTGCGCGGTCGCCCTTCCTGGGAGCACAGCTCCGGTGTCCTCTGGGGAGCAGTGGAGGTGGGTGTGTATGTATGTCCGTCTCAGCATGCCTCAGATTATTGCTTCCTAATAAAATTCTGATAGCGGGGCCCCATCAATATCTCAAATACATGTGAGGAAACGTTAATTTAGAATCAATTTTAGGATGTTTCAGACTGTAAAGTCCTTTTAACTAGATCTCTGGCGAAGATGTAGAAGCACTTTATGGGACTGTAAATTTCATGTTGAACAGTCTTCGTGAAATACACATCTCCCCTGCACACAAGCTGTTCTCTCCATATCAGTCATGGCCGCTGCAAGTAATGTTTCACAAATATTCTGTAAATCACAGAGAACCCCATGATAATGTGAAATATGACTTTCACTTGTCTGTTAGACAAAAGAATCGCACATGCCTGTCTCCCATCAGCACTAACATTTGTTATGGATAATAACACTTTCAATCACAACTATTTTTGGAAAACGGGTTTATTTTAAACCTTCCCTCCCCCACTGAAAACACTCTCCCAAGGACACAGACTCCTACAAACCACAGCCCATTAATCCAACAATGGAATGGGAACTTTCTCTTCCCACTAACTTTTTGTAAAAGTTGGTTTTAAGGGGGCTGGCAGGTGGTATGGTGATTAAGACTCTGGACCCCTCCATGGCTGACTGCAGTTTGAGTCCTGAACCTGGCGACTTGCTGTCCAACTTTCCCTTTCTTTGGTCAAAAATTTTTTTAAATAATAATAAAAATAAATAAATACAATTGTTTTTAAGAGTTAGAATAAAAGCCCAAGGTACAAGGTTAATGACCATTTTACCTTAGCTGATCGGCATCAGAGGGAGCCTGAGTCTCCAATGGCCCCAAATCTCTGACCCTCTGTGAAGTAAGACATATGAGAGGCCCAGGTTTTTATCCAGCACCTTCATCTCAGCTGGATCCCGTGGTTTTTTAGTTGCTGGTATCAACAGATAAATCAAAGAGCTCAAATATTTTTTGAGAGACGGTCTCACTAGGTACCCGAGCTGGCTTCGAACTCATGATCCTCTTCCTGCCTCAGCCTACCAAGTAGCTGGGATTGTGTGTACCACTGTGCCCAGATCAAAGATAAAATTTTAGTTCTTAAAGAGCAAATGTTGGGGCCAACAGTGGCATGGTGGTTAAAGCACTGGATTCCCACAGGGCCAACTGCATGGTTCGAGTCCCAGACCTGTCTGCTTGAAAATCACACTGGGCACATGTGCATGCATGCCCAGAATCCTGAGAGGAATCTGGAAGAGAAGGGATTGCAGTATGGTCACCCCCTCTGGGAACTGATTTCTCACTTCCTCTCTCTCTCTCTCTCTTTCTCTCTCCAGCAAATGCATTAGGGCCAGCAGATGGCATAGTGGTTATGTCACTGGACTCCCACATGGCCAACTGCAGTTCAAGTCCTGGACCCTGTGGTTTGAAACCCACGCCGGGTATGTGTGTGTGCATACCCAAGATCCCGGGAGAAGAATGGAGGAGAAGGGGTTGCAGTGTGGCCATCCCCCTGGGGGATGATTTCTCATTTTCCCTCTCACTGTCTCTGTCTCTATCTCTCTTCCGCGAGTACGCAGACCCTAAGGCAACAACCTCTTAAAATACACACACACACACACACACACACACACACACACACACAGACACAGACTTACTATTGTACTTTGATATTCTTAATTCCATTACAACCCAGTCAGAGCCTCTCTTTTTTTATTTATTTGTGTGTGTTTTAGGTTTTTGTCATAGGTATATGCACTTACTGGAGAGACAGACAGTGAGAAGGAAAGTGAAAAATGACCCCCAAGAGGGATGGCCATGCCATAATCCCTTCTCTTCCATTCTCCTCCTGGGATTTTGGGTATGCATGCACAGATGTCAGGCGTGAATTTATATATTTATTTATTTATTTATTTATTTAATTCCATGTTTTATTAGAGACAGAGAGAGAAAGGGAAAGTGAGAAAGCAAACCTCCAGGCCCGGGATTTGAACCATGGTCAGTTGGCCATGTGGGAGTCCAGTGGCTTAACCACCATGCCACGTGCTGACCCCTGGGTGTGAGTTTCAGGTCATGAGGTCCAGGACTCAATGGCAACCTGCCTTGTGAGAATCCAGCACCTTAACCACTCTGCCACCTGCTGGGCCCCACAGCCTCTCTATTTAAGTACCAGATGACCGGTTTGAGAGCATTTTGAATATAACTATATCCACAAGTATGGCAGGAGCCTCGCCCTTCCTCCAGCTGATTGCCGAAAAGCAGCACCCACAAAGTAATGGACTTCCATGGCTCCAAACGTTCCGCTAACCTGTCTGTTCCCCGTCCCTGCGTAGGAGACGTCGGGGCTGATTGATCATGACTACTATAAAGGAGCAGGCAGCAATTAGCAGGCTCTTAAGTTTTCTGCAAGAGTGGGACAATGCTGGCAAAGTCGCCAGGGGTAACATCCTCACCAATTTCATTGAAGCCAACCAAGGCAAGACTGCCCCGGAACTGGAGCAGGAGTTTTCCCAAGGAGCCAGCTTGTTCCTGGTCCGCCTGACCACCTGGCTCAGAATCACGTATCCTTTGCTGAACCAAAGAAGTGTGTGAGTGTGGAGGGGGGATTATTGAGGGAGCTTTTCTCTCGATTCTAATATTTTAGAACAAGATATGTGGTGATAAAAATATCATTCCCAAAGTCAAGAACTCCATCAACTTTCCATCACCCCAACCTATAACTGTATTGTTTCTCACCCTACCCTCTTCCTCCCATCAGAGTTGAAGGATATGTTCTTTCTACCTAGGGCTAATTTCTATTTATCCTACACTTGAATCCCTTCCCACCTGCTTAGGGACTTCTCTCCAGTAGCTTTCATCTCTGCCTCATTACCAAGTTTTTGCATCAATATATACTGATATCTCTTCTACCTTAAAAAAATAAAATAAAATCTCTGTCTCAACCTTATATTCCAGCCAGCCCCATCTCTTCGTAGTGAAGCTTCTTGAAAAGGTTGTTGGGGTTGGCTCATTGGTAAATGTGACGCTCTGCAAGGATGACCCACATGGGAAGGTTTCAGGTTCATGTCCAGAGACCTCAATGAGTACACCAGCCATGTCCATACCCCTGATCCAGGGCTGGCTGAAGCTGGAGGTGCATCACAGCGTCATAGACCCTGTCGTGGGTGCTGTTCCTTTCTCACTCTCTCTTTATCTCCCTCACTCATAGAGGAAATGAATAGATCATTTTCTTTTCATTTTTTTAGACATTCTTGCTATAGGGTACATGTACTAGCCAGAGAGATGGAGAGACAGAAAGTGAGAAATCACCCCCTGGAGGGATAGCCACGCCACAATCCCTTCTCTTCCACTCTCCTCAGAACTTTGGGCATGTACTCACACACGTGCCCGGCATGAATTTCAACCTTTTAGGTCCAGGCCTCGAACCACAGTTGGCTGTATGGGAGTCCAGTCATATGCTGGTCCATGCTTTAATTTTTTAAAGAAAGAAAAAGTTGTTGACTCCTTGTCTCCACTTCCTCTCCAAGGGTTTCTCCTCCACCCACAGCAGGCTGACTCTTATCCTCCCAACTCCACTCTTACAGGTCTATGCAAGTGGTGTTCCAATTGCCAATCCCAATGGCTATATCCTCAGTCCTTGGACATGAGGTTACCAGTGGTGTTCTAATTGCCAATCTCAACGGCTATACTCAGTCCTTGTATGTGAGCTCTCGGTGGCATTTGTCAATCAACCTTTTCCACTTCTCAAAACGCTCCCTCCCCACTTCTCCCTTGGTTTCTGTGATACCAATTCTCTTGGTTTTCTCCATCTTTCTGTCCATTCCTTCTCTTCTTCAGCTGTCTCTTAAATATTGGTGTTTTGGGACTAGCAGGTGGCATGGTGGCTAAGGTGCTGAACTCCCACGTGGTCAGCCACGGTTTGAGTCCTGTACCTTGTGGCTTGAAATTCACACTGGATGCGTGTGTATGCATGCCCAGGATCCCAGGAGGAGAATGGAGGAGAAGGGATTGCAGCATGGCCATCCACCTGGGGATGATTTTTAACTTTCCTTCTCACTGTCTCTCTGAAAAACCTTAAAAAAAAAAAATGGTGTTTCTTGGGACTCCGTGCACATCTCTCTCCTCTGTTCCTTCTCAGACTCTCCCAGGGAAATGATTTATTGTCACAATGCCAACTCAACTCCAGTTTGAGGACTCTCCAAACATCTCTCTGGACTCTGAGCTCCAATCCGTGTTGTGGACTGTACATGTTCAACTCCAGCTCTACTCTTAGGCCACAGACATCTCTCACAGTTCTGGCTGTGAAACCAGGGAGTGAGGCAAGAGCATAAGAAGAGGGAGCACATTTGATTAGAAAAGTTTGGTTTGGGAAACACTGAGTTTGAGGCACCTGTGCTCAGGGAGGCAGCTCAGAGCTGGCGACAGATTTGGTGTCGTTAAAGGTGACAGTTTGAGTCATGACTGGATTTGAGGATATTTCTGTCCCGTGTGCCCATGGCATCCTATGGTTTCCCTTGTGACCCTTTCATGGTGTATTTTATCCCTGCCTGAACCTCTCCCTTTTCTAAGCCCTCTCCATATTTGACTAACTCCTACTCTATGATTCAACTCTCAGTGTAGACGTCACCTTCTCAGGAAGCCCTTTCCTGAACCCCAGACTAGCTTAGATTCCCCTGTAGATTCACAGCTTTCTCAAATGGTTTTTGGCTCTAGGATATATGTGCTTTCCAGAGAGAGAGACACACACACACAGAGAACATCTCCCAGGGAGAATGGCCACTCCACAATCCAGTCTCCTTGGGATTTTGGGCACACACACATACACTCCTGGCATGATTTTCAAGCTACTAGTTCTAGGACTCAAACCGTAGAGCCATTCATATAGAATCCAGCACCTTAACCTCCATGCCACCTGCTGGAGGTTCCTCAATCTTAGCAGTCATAATACCTGCTTATACCTCTCTTCTCCACCCCCACTGGATTGTAAACTCTCTTAGGGCAGGATCTGCATCTATTCTACTCAGCTCTCTATTTTTCTCACCAAGTACAGTGCCTGGTGTGTATTTGCTAAACAAAGGAATGAATAAGCCAGAGTCCACAGCTAGGAGGAACTAGAGGGTTAAGTAAACATAGCTCTCTTTTTCTTACATTTAAGTCATTGATAAAATGACTAAGTGGAGGCAAAGCAGTGGTGCAGCAGTAATGCAACTGGACACGTGAAAAAGGCCCTGGGTTTGCATCCGAGGACCCCCTGAGCATCCGGGCACTCGTGTGTACTTGTGTACCTGTGATACGGGCTGGCCAGGATTCGTGGGTGGAGATCAGTTGGAAGTGACTCTCTCTCTCTCTCTCTCTCTCTCTCTCAAACACACAGAAGAAAAAATTTAAAAATAATTATCCAGATGACAAGCAGCATTGTGGTTATTGGCAATGGACTCCCTTTCACATGGCTGATCGTGGTTTGGATCCCAGACCCGGTGGCTTGAAAATCAGAACAAGCACCTGTGCGTGCGTGCCCAAGATTCCAGGAGGAGAATGGAGGAGAAGGGATTGCGGCGTGGCCATCCCCCCTGGGGGTGTTTTCTCACTTTCCCTCTCTCTCTCTCTCTCTCTCTCTCTTTTTCTCTCCCATCAGTAAGCACACAGATATACTGGCAAAAACTTAAAAAAAAAATTATCCATCCAGCAGGTGGCATGGTGGTTAACATGCTGAACTCCCATATGGCCAACTGCAGTTCAAGTCTTAGACCCAGTGGCTTGAAAATCACAACAAATAAATGCATAAATAAATACATGTTTAAAAAATTCTATTAAAGGAAACAGCAGATGGCATTATGGTTATGTCACAGACTCCCACGTACTTGACCGCGGTTAAGTCCTGGACCTGGCAGATTAAAACTCACGCCAGGCACATGTATGTGCATGCCCAAAATCCCAAGAGAAGAATGGAGGAAAAGGATTGTGGTGTGGCCATGCCCCTGTGGTTGCTCACTTTCTGTCTCTCTGTCTCTCTGTCTCTGTCTCTCCAGCAAGCACACTCGCCCTATAGCAAAAATCTTTCTCAAAAAAAAAGTTTCACAGGGAGTCTTTTTACTTATAAGTGTATAAGCCACAGTACCGATGAAGTCAGCAATGGTAGATAAAAAGGAAGTAATGACATTCCCCACTGGGGTCTCTCTCTCTCTCGTGAGTGCATATGCCCTCTGGCAATAGAAAATAATTTATTTTTTAAGAAATTGTTTTAAAAATTATTGGGACCGGGACCAGCAGTTAGCATAATGCCTATGTCGCTGGACTCCCATGTAGTCGACCGCGGTTTGAGTCCTGGACCCGGTGGCTTAAAACTCAGGCCGGGCATGTGTGCATGCATGCCCAAGATCCCAAGAAGAGAATGGAGGAGAAGGGATTGTGGCATGGCCATCCCCCCGGGGGGTGATTCCTCGCTTTCTGTCTCTCTGTCTCTCTCTGTCTTTCTGGTGAGCGCATGCACCCTATAGTAAAAACCTCTCCTGGGGACCAGCAGGTGGTGTGGTGGTCCACAGTTCAAGTCCCGGACCTGATGGCTTTCTTTCTCACTTTCTTTCTCTCTGCCTCTCTCTGATCAAATTAAAATAAATAAATGAATAAATATAATTCTAAAAAAATAAAATATATTAAAAAAACTCTCAAAAAAAAATCTCGAAAGGAAAATGAAGGAGAAGGGATTGCAGCTCTCTCTGTCTCTCTCTAGCAAGTGCATGTCCTATGTACAAAAAAATAAATAAATAAAGCATGGAGATTACTGGTCTATCTCCCTACCCCCACGCACTTTTGTTGTTTTTTAGAGATTTTTCCAATAGGGCACATGTGCTCACTGGAGAGACAACGAGAAAGAAAGCAAGAAATCACCCCCCCCCAGAGGGGATGGCCGTACTACAATCCCTTCTCCTCTGTTCTCCTCTTGGATGTACAAAAAAATAAATAAATAAAGCATGGAGATTACTGGTCTATCTCCCTACCCCCACGCACTTTTGTTGTTTTTTAGAGATTTTTCCAATAGGGCACATGTGCTCACTGGAGAGACAACGAGAAAGAAAGCAAGAAATCACCCCCCCCCAGAGGGGATGGCCGTACTACAATCCCTTCTCCTCTGTTCTCCTCTTGGGATCTTGGGTATGCACTTACACACACCCAGCATGTTTTTTTTTTTGTTGTTTTTTTTTTTTTTTTTTTGAGAGATTTTCACTGTAGGGCGCGTGCGCTCGCCAGACGGACAGAGAGAGACATAGAGACAGAAAGCGAGAAATCACCCCCCAGGGGGGATGGTCACGCCGCAATTCCTTCTCCTCCATTCTCCTCTCGGGATCTTGGGCACGCACGCACATGCGCCCGGCGTGAGTTTTAAGCCACCGGGTCCGGGACACGAACCGCGGTCAACTACGTGGGAGTCCAGCGACATAGCCATTACGCTGACTGCTGGTTCCCCACCCAGCATGTTTTAAGCCATGAAGTCTGGGACTTGAACCACAGTCGACCACACTGAAGTCCAGCGATGTAACCATTATGCCATCTGCTGATCCCATAATGAGATCTATTTCTTATAAGCAGTGTTTCCCCCAAATCATGCTTCGAGAAACTTCAATGCCTATAATCTGGCTTCTGTCCCCACAGCTCGTGACACTCACCTCACCGAGGTTCTCAGCCACTCTCTGTTGCCTAATCTGGAGTCCCCTTTTCCGTACTGATCTTAGTAACATTGTTCATTTGACAACGTGAATGAGGAAGGTGCAGGTGAAGGGTCAGTTCCTGTCTTTCTTTAAAACTTTGATATTTTACTCATCATGGATTTAAAATGTTTTTTAATTAATTAATTTATTTTCCTATAGGACGCTTGTGCTTGCCAGATAGAGAGAGAGTCAGAGAGACAGAGGGAGAGTAAAAAATCACCCTCGGGGGGATGATCACACTGCAGTCCCTTCTCCATTCTCCTCTTGGGATTAGGGGCAGATGCACGATTTTCCAGCTGTTGAGCCCGAGACTTGAGACTTGAACTGTCGGCTCTGTGTGACCCAGATGCCATAACCTCCATGCCGCCTGCTGGTCTGGCTCTTTTTATCTCCAAATGTTACATGGAAGCATTACTTTTTTACTGAGTCTTTCCGTGCTCCTTTAAATTTCAAGCGCCTCCCTCTAGTCCCACCCTGCCCAACCACTGCCCTTCTTAAGCTCTCTTCTCTCCCTTCTCCTGTTCCTGGTTCTCAGTCACTGTGGCGGGATCTTTCCTACCGACCCTGTAAGTGTTCCAAGGGTTCTGTGTCCTGTCCCCTCGTTTCTCACTCAGTCATGGCTCTTCCCGCCCCAGGCCTCGTGTCTTTCTCCACATCACAAGTGCCACACGGTGCCGGACATCCGGCGGACGCTCGGCGCGCACTAAAGGACAGCGTGAACCGTGTAGATTCAGTTTCCACACCTGGGATCATTCGGAATTCCCTACTCTCTGGGACCTTGTCGTGTAACAGAGAAAGTAGAGCAGCCGGAAGTGATTCTTGGATGGTGTTTCAAATTAGCCATCCCCTGCACCTCCCCAGCGCTCCCGGGAGAGTGGATTTGGGAGGAATCAATATAACACCATCGTCTTTTGCACATTTGGCCACCGCGAAATTCCGCAGAAGCCTAAACCTCTTTTTCAACCTTGAACTCCCAGAACAGGTGACTAAAACTAAGTATTTATATATAATGATAAAACGTTAGCCACCATTTATTGAGTCCCTTTTATGTGCTAGGCACTGGGCTGGTCCCATAAAAATATTATCTCATTGGAGCCTAATACCTAGCCTAACAGGTGATCGGTATTATCTCTTTTTATTGATAAGACAGCTGAGCCTTGGAAAGGTTGAGTAGTTTGCTAGTAAATGGCAAAGAGAAGGCTTGAAACTGGTCTGCTGGCCCAGACCCACATGCCATCCTCCATCTGCAGCGTCTCCGTCTGGGTGGGCATCGTAAACCCACAGCTCCTCCGACACCAGAAATACTCCACCCCCTGCATTTGGCCTCAGGCAAGAAGGTGTGGCCGTAGGAGCTCAAAGTCCAAGTGAGGCGGCCTAGGTTCACATCCCGGTTCCCTCAGTTCATTCTGGAACCATGGACGAATTATCAACCTGTCAGGTTACCTCTGAACTAAGCGGAAGCACTGAGCTCCCACTGCAGGGCTGTAGTGAGGATTACAGGCACCGACACCAGCTAAGGAGCCAGCACCACGCCCGGCATGCAATCAGTGCTGGTCCTGGTTAGCTACCACTGATAACAGTAACCTTCTGGAACTAACTGCCAGGAATAATAGACCAGAAATACCCATACCGAGGGACTGTGAAAACAAGGCGAGCCTGGGGCAAAGGAAAAGACGGTGATCAAGTTGGTCGGCTGGTAACTGAAGGAAAAGGGGGCAGGGCCAGGATCATGTAGGAATAAAGACCACCATGTAGACGGATAGCCGGGCCCCAGCTATGGTGGCAACAGGCAGGGAGCCTGGCTCCAGAGCAAACACTGTTTTTGCAGTCAAGAGCCTTTCCTAATGAGCCAATCTGTCTCTACTTCTATTGGCATCCTGGGAACCAGGGTGCAGCAGGGATAATTTGCCTCACACCCCACCCCCAACAAAGCACCATTACCTCCAACCCATTACATTAGCCTTTATCAGTCGTGGAGGCGCTCAGTCATCCTCCATGAGCTGCAATAATTTCAGCTAATTTCTTAAGTGTTCTAAGAGCCTGTGATGTGTTATGAGCCTAGTAATTGTTGACTGGTTCCTTTTCTGTTGAAACTTGATTTCATACCTTGTATCCCAGCTGATGCGTGCTCTGGCTGCTTTATTACAATGAGGCTTTTTGCAAAGACTCACATTAAAAAATAGCATTAAATACCGAGGTTGTTTTAAATCAGTTTAATTTTTCCACCATCTCCTGTTATCTTATTAGGAAGCCGTGCAATTCTTCATAAGGATAGTGACCTCCAGTGTAAAACTTGGAGCAAGTACAAAATTGAAAATTAATGATGAAGCTGATCCTCTGTAAAGTCTAAAAATGAGGTGCAAAACAATGAACTGCACTGAGACCCAAGGGTGCGATGGCCATGGCTTAGGGAGGCATGGGACATTAGCCTCCAGCTTGTCTCCATGCACCTTTGATTCAGGAGAGCCTCCTTGCTTCCCAGAAAGCCTGTCAGAGCCGAGGTGCTGGCTGAAC